CCATCACCACGCTATTACCACTTTCATCCACCCACGTAATCCACTCCCCTACGTCCCTAGTCTCCTTACCTCACGTATCCACCAATCTCTCTCTACCCCCTATCTCCTCTGTCTATTTCTCACCGTACTACTCCTCTCATCTTCTACCTCTTCCACACTCTCTGCCTCATCTCCCCGCCCCACCCCCCCTCATCACTTCTTTTCTTCTCTCTCGTATCTGTTTCTCTCCTCCCGCGCCCCACTCATCCTCACCGTTCCCGCTTCCGCGAGCACCTTCTGCTATCACTCCCACTTCTCCCACCTGTCTCCTACCCACTTAATTTCCTATCGCCACGACCAGCTAGCATAAAACTCGGAACCATGCGACAGACCAAGAAACAATTAACGTACGATCTTCCACACGAGCATTCCGTCTCACTTCTAACTCCTCATATTTCTCATCCTGCGCCCCGGCAGAATCGTCATACACAGACCGAGATCGCTGTCAAGTCTCACGTAGTGAGTCTACAGCTTCTCTAGTCGTCGAGAGGAAGCGAGCTTTGATTATTTCGCGTGTGGTCGTTCGTGCCCGTGGCAATCTTCACCTCTCGCGTCCTCTCCTCTTCCTCCCTGTCTGTTCGTCGCTCTAATCTGAGCGAGTGCGCCTAGTTTGGGCCTTAGGTCGTGTCCTCGCTCGCGTGTTCTGTCATTCCCTCTATCCTTTATAACTGTTTGGTGCCTGTCTGTCGAGTCTGCCCATTGTCTGGTGGTCGTTTGTGTCTCTGGGTCTCGTGTGTCTACGCTTACTCTGTCTCTGCTGTTCTTAACAAATGTTTCATGTGTTGGTCCTGTCACGCTCACATTCAGCAGCTAGTTGTCATGCATCTGGCGTCGCTCGCTTCCTACTCTATTTCACCGCATAGCACTCTGCTTCTCTGCTGGCTTTGGGCTCACCCAGCTCCCGTTCGTCCCGGTCAGTCAAGCTGATCCTTTGTATGTGTGTGCTCCTGTTGTCGTAAATACTCAATTTAAGTGTCTCTTTCATCGACTGTAACCTTTTAGTCTTTGACCCAACGCTTTGCAATTCTATACATCATATAATTATTCACGCAGCAACATTAAAGTTGAGCCGTAATACTAGATATGATCACGCAGAGAGAGCGGCGGACGATAAATAGATGAGTTTCCCCTCAAACAAAAAATCCTCCGTTTCTGGATCGAGGCGTGTTCTATGCACAGAGAAGCCGAGGTTGCCAGCGGAGTGTGCCTCGCAGGTCGTGCACCTGCGGTCCTTGCAGACGACGACGTGCGACTATCCGGCTCTTAGCACACGAAATGGACGTGGGCGGTCGGCGGTGGAATCGCAGCCACGACCTCCGCGCAAGGTCCACTACCCGATTTACCCAACAAAGAAACGGTTTGTCTGCCGAAGAGGAGCTGGGGGGTGGGCTTGGCTCCGCCTGCAGTGTTCGGTCTCGGCCGAAGGCATAGTGGGGGGGGGGGGCCTATCCGCGCCCCTTTGGACAGGGGCAGAAGAGAGGCAAGGAGAATCGAATTGGGCCGGGCTCGAAAGGCGGACAGTATGGTGGGGGTGGTGGGGGCCGCCTACGGTGTCAGGGTTGCCGAAAACAAGGGCGGGTCGGTTCTCATCGGCATGCCTTCGCTCGTGCGCTCCCGCTCTCGCTTCCACGGCACTGGCCGGACGCCTGCGGAGCCGCCGCAACGGGCTGCACGCTCGGCGTACAGCCCGGAGAAGGTGCTATGGGGGGCGAGGGGCTCGGTCCCACTAGTCTGCGGCGGTGCTCCTCGTGTCTCCGTCGAGGAACGAAGGAGGAGTGATAAACGTTCGCCTGGGGGGCTCGCTCGTGTCTGTGAGACCCTAGTATAGGCCATGTTCGTTTTGTTAACGTGGTCCGTTTTGTTAGAAGTGTGTGGTTTTGCTCGGGTGATGTATGAAAACATAGCGCGAAGCCACGACGCCTGCGCGGCCTGACGGAGGTGTATCTTTAAGGTTGATCAGTGAATCAGCGAAGAAATACATCTTGCTTCAGGTGGTGTGCGACATGAGCGGCATATCCCGTGCCTTCCGCTCGATTCATGTACATTGCGCTTTTGCGAAGTAGCCTTGGATGATTTCTTTCCGTTCGAGTAGATTGCAACATGCTCCGTCGGCCGAGTGACCGAGCGGCCCCGAAAGCGCGATCGCTTGCACGAAAGGCGAAGCTGCGAAACGAGCAAAGCGCAAACAAATAAAAGGGCAGTACACTAAAGGGCCAATGAGCCGCCGTGGCCCGTGGGAGAGTGTCAAGGAGTGCCAGGAGTGCCAGGGCCACACGGGCCTCCGGCAGAAATCAATGCTTTCTTTTTGGGGCAGTTTTTACACGCTTTTTGTACAGCTTTTTTCACTTGTTGTCTTTGTTTCCCTCGTCGGCCGTCTGGGTAATGAGAGCAGAGGAGAGTGGAGGGACAAAAAAGCAAGCGTCTTGGCGGGGAGGGGGGGGCTCGCCTCTGTCGGCCGAAGGAGTCCAAGGGATCGNAGAGAGAGAGAGAGAGAGAGAAAGAGAGAGAGAGAGAGAGAGAGAGAGAGAGGAGAAGAGAGAACAGGTAAGGCATACGTAACAGGTACTAAAAACGTAAATAAAGAGAGAAAGGGGACATACGCATTCAAAACACAGACACACACACACAAACAAAATCTACCAATATACACACAAACAGCAAAATTTGAAAGACAGCAAGAACCCAACCGCCACGACGAAGAACCATAAAAGAAAACCAAAAAAAAAAAAGAAGAAGAAGAAAAAAAAAAAGGAACAGCGATCTTGCAAATGAAAGGGGGGAAGGAAGGAGCGCGGGGGGGGGGGGGCTTTGAATGTCCGAGAGAGCGACAGCGGAAGAGGGCAATAATGATGGATTTGACAGCCTACGACACTTTCCATTTGCTGTGCCAACGCTGTCTTCACGCTGATTGGCTACGCTGTAGGTGAGGGAGGTGGGGGGGGGGAGGGGGTGTGTGAGGCGATGATTTTGAGAAGGGGAAGAAGGGTGATGTAATTAACGCTTTATCATCATGACTTGTTATTATGATATTATGATTCCTTATTTCTGTTTCTTTTGCATTTATCGGTATCTTGATTCCTCTCTCTTTCGCTGTCTACAGCTTTGTATCTTTGTGACTCATTGCTTGCTATGTCTCTACCTTTCTTTTCTCGGTCTCCTCTCTTCTCTCTCTCTCTCTCTCTCTCCTCTCTCTCTCTCTCTCTCTCTCTTCTCTCTCTCTCTCTCTCTCTCTCTCTCTCTCTCTCTATATATATATATATATATATATATATATATAATATATATTAATATTATACATATATTATATATATATAATATATATTATATATATATATATATATATTATCTATATATATATATTATATATTATATAATATACATGTACAGTATTTGCATGTGGAGTGTGTCTGCGAGCGCTGGCTACACAGGCATCCAGAGCCCCTTCGCGCTCCCTCGCCGCCACGCTCCGGCCCGCGCCCTCGGGTCCTCGTCGCGCCCCTGCCAGCGATCTCGCTCACAGGGTAATGTCCGAAAAAAAGAGAAACCTGAGTGGAGGAAGCTAAGTGGCTGCCTACTGAAGACGTCTGCATTAGGCTGATGGGGTTCCCGTAGCTAGCTCCCGTTACGCATCCCTTGCGCTGTCTTTCCTTCTCTTTCTTTCTAACTCTCCTCTCTCTCTCTCTCTCTCTCTTTTTTCTTTTCTCTCTCTCTCTCTCTCTTCTCTCTCTCTCTCTCTCTCTCTCTCTCTCTCTCTCTCTCTCTCTCTCCTCTCTCTCTCTCTCTCTCCATCTATTTCTCTATCCCCCCCGCTCTCACCATGTGTCTGTTCTTTCTATCGTTCTGTTTAATTACTTCTCATTCCCATACTTTCTCTCTC